TTTACAGACCGAAACTTCTTTCTCTAGGTCATGAAAGGTCTCACCATGACATTTTGGTTTAAGGGTTATACAAAGAGTCATAGGTTTCATTACAAAGTCCTACCCTTAAGAGGATGTCTCTTGAGATATATTCCTTTTGCAGAATTCCTCTGACTCTAGGAGAAGTCGTCACATGAACTCATAGGGCTGATGTATCTCCTTGGCTAATAGACGAACCTTCTTTCTAAAGGTTTTGAAAAATATTTTTTTTCTAAAATAATAAAATCTCATCACAAATAAATGAAATTTGATAATAAATATAAAGACAAATAAATAAAAAGAATAAATAAATATAAAAAAATAACAAAAATAGAAAAACTCCAAAAACTCCAAAATCCAAAAGAGAGGCTTTTAAACCCTAGGATTGAGGTCCCCAACAGAGTCGCCGACTGTAATAACTGGTTTTGAAAAGAGAGTCACCACTATTAATTTTTATCCTAGGGAAAGGAATATAGCGGATAACCCTAATTTGGTCAGAGATTCTAAGTTATTTGACTCGTTCTTAGACAAAGGGAATGTGTTAGGCACCCCTCATCTACCTTGTTCACAAGGATACTAGGGTTTAGAATTACGACTTAGGAAATAGGGGTTTAATTTTTTATTAGGAGAACTCGCCATAATTTTTAAGTCTTATGCATACGTATCCTCTTATAAAGAATCAGAGTATCAATTCGTAGTTCGTAGTTGTTGGTTGGTGTTCTTTATGGATTACATGAATATCTCAAATTAATCTGTGAACCAAGTCTGGATTTGTAAATTGCGGAGTTGTTAGACGAAGTTCATAGTTAATGAGAAATATCTCCACAATCCTTTTTGAAAATAGATATATGGTTTGAATTAGGTTAGTGAAAATTGTTAGTAACTTAATTGGTTAGATATTTTTTAAATATATTAATATATACAAAAAATCTTTTTAATGTATGAAGAAAATGATTTTAATACAATTAAAAAAGATATTTGAATGAGTTGGTAAAAAAGATTAGAATTAGTAAATAAATAAATTTATAATTTATTATAAAAATAAATTTTAATTATGAAAATATAAATAAATAAATTGATAAATAAAAGAAAATGTAAAAAATATAATTTTAATTAATTTACACAAAGGGGGTGTATTTTTAGTTAGTTAGTAAAAGGCTGGGGGTATGAAGAGTAAGACCCTAAATTCAGATGTTAAATTTGGGTCCAAAGTGCAGGGGAGTGTCGTTTTACAATGGCTTGGTAAAATTAGGGATGCGGGAATTAAGGGTCCAAGTTCAGATATTAAACTTGACCCAAATGCGTGGAGGAGGTGTGGATTAAAAGAGGAGGGTCCAAGCCCATCATTAATTCTAATTCTAATAAATAATTAAATTAGTAACAATAACTAATTAATAAAAATAAATAAATAAATAAAAAGCAACAGAAGAAGGATAAGGGAGACGTACTGTCGTTTGCTTCTAAGTAGCAACACAATTTGATTTACAAAGGCCATCAATTATAATAACAACCAATATTATAATACCAACACATATTATAATAACAACATATATTATAATAAAAACATAAACAACTTATATTAGAAGAATAACCAAACGTAGCTTCTCTGTCATCAAAGCAAAAAAAGGAAAAAAGAGAGGTGACAGTTGACGGGAAGCACTCAGAGAGAGAGAGAGAGAGATTGAGTGTGATAGTGTTAGAAAACTCGCCCTCCAATTATGAGAAATTTTTTAGGTGTTTTGTTCAGAATCCTAAAATAATTGTTGATAAGATTGTTGATGTAGACTTCAAAATTTCTTTGTTGTTGTTGTTCTTCGATGTGAAGAGCAACAACTTTTAAGAGAACTCTAGTGAGTTGTTGATATGCAAATGATTATTGATTCTCCAAATGATTGATAATGAAAAATTTAGGGTGAAGAAAGTCCTATTTATAGATTTGAAATTAGGTTAAAGACACTCCAAAAAAGAAATAGTCCACACTAAGAAAAGGCCAAAGTTTATGATTTTATCTTGGTTAGTAAGCTGACCAATCAGAAGTGAGTTATGACACAAATTGACACACTTTGACCAATAAGAAACAATTAATAATATTTTTGGTAATTATTATAATTTTTGCACTCAATTTTGATAAAAAGTGCATCAAATCAAATAAATAATAATTTTTTAAAAATGCACTATTTAAAATACAAAAATAATATTTAAATAATAAAAAAAATATAATTTTTGTGATTTTGAAAATAATTAAAAAAAAATATAGTTAGTAATAAAAAAATATCCAAAATGCACCAAGTGAGATTGATTTATTTTAAACATGATTTTGAAGATTGAAAATTGATTGAAATTTGATCCATAATTTGGTGAACAAGATTATGAATCTAACATTGTTTATGACTATTCCAAATATTGAGATTTATTTGAAAATATTTTATTTATTTTTTCCAAATTTAACTATTAAATGCATAAAAATCAAATATTTGAAAAAAACAAATAAATTTAAAATAGACTTAAAATAGAAAATAATAATAAAATAATTTAAAAATGACATTTTTATCATTTTTAAATAAAAACACAAAAGAACAATAAAATATAAAAGGTAACACACAACAAGAATTGAACCCACAACCTTATTTTTAATATTCTTACCAATGCTCTCTTACTACCTGTGCTATCTTAATTATTTGAAATAAAAGTAGCATTTAAAATTTAAAAAGATGATATAATATTTGCTATTTTAAAAGAAATATATAAATAATTTCAAAATAAACAATTATGTACCTTTTAAATAAGCAAAATTAAATAAATCAATGTTGAAAAAAACTAAGCATAAATACAAAGTGAACAAAGATGATAAATAAATAAATATATTATTTTTTAAATAATAATTTTATTTATTATATCAAAGAGATATTTTAAATTTCTAGACCTAGTGATTTTTAAATGACTGGATATTCAACTATAAATAACGAGAAAAATAGGGGGACATATTTGAGGTATGATAACTGTCTCTATTTAATTACTCTTCGATTGAAGTGTGCGAGAGGACGCAGTTCTCGCATGTTCGGATCAGAGGGTTATTAAATAATGAAAGACCCCAAAATTTGGACCAAAGATTATTAAATAAGGATACACTGATATAACATACCCAAGAGCTCAAAGAAATAGGCAAAGACGATGATGTATCATCCTATCCGATTTTGGTTAAATTTTTTATTTGACTTAGATACGACAACACAAATAACTCGTCAATACCTAAAAGAGATAGGAGATTTTTGTATATTTACCATAACCTATAAGGTAAATAATACGAGTTTGAGATGTTGACTTACTAGTGATTTGAGACTAATATAGTAAGAATGCAGGTTTTGTCTATTCATCACAACCTAGAGGATGAATAAAACAAAGTTTTGATAATGCATTACCGCATGGAGACTGACACAATGAATTATGCAGGTTTCGTTATGTTTACTACGATCTAGAGAGTATACAGTACATGGATGAACTTGTGCATTTATCACGACCTATGAGATAAAAGACAACAGGGACATGCTTACATTATTCATCACGACCTAGAAGATGAATAATATAACTCTGAAAATTCACATACCTATCACAACCTAAGAGATAAATATTTGATGAATCTGTGTATTTACCACGACCTAAGGGATAAATGACACAAAGACATATTCACGTATTCATTACAACCTAGAGAATGAATAATATGAATATGGTAATTCACACACCTATCATAACCTAGGGGATAAATGATTGAAAAATGTTTTGGTGATCAAATCTTAGATAACTAGATCAAAGATGAGATCGGAATTTTACCAGTTGTGTCAGTTCTCAATTGAGGTAATTGCTTGCTTTGATAATCTGACAAAGAGCCCCAAGGTTTGCTGATGATGTCGGTTGTGTCTGTTCTCAACCAAGACTCGATCAACTTGAAGAATTAAACCCCAATTTCACTGATGATGTCAGTTGTATCTGCTCCCAACCAAGACTATCAACATGAAGAAATGAACCCCAAATTCACTGATGATGTCGGTTGTGACTGTTCTCATCCTAGACTATCAACATGAAGAAATGAACCCCAAATTCACTGATGATGTCAGTTGTGTCTGTTCTCAACCAAAACTATCAACATGAAAAAATGAATCCCAAATTTTCTCTAATGAAGCCAGTTGTGTCTGTTCTCAACCGAGGCTTGATCAACATGATAACTAAATGAAATTGAATGTTTTGATAGGTTTGAATTTGATAATTGCACGTGTAATGCCCAGAGACTAGTGATGACTAGGCTTTGGATATGAATCGTAGATAAGTTGTGTAATGGAATTTTGATAGCGATACCATGATTCGTAGGTAGACATTAGATACAAATCATAGTCGGCCATTGAACCCTCTTTTATATAAAAAAATATTTTTTTACATGGTCAATTCATCACCATTATCAATAATATTTTCATGATCATTTCATCACCAAACATAATTATGAATTTTACATAAATAATGCATATCAGTTAAATCCTAGAATAATTAATCTTCTCACCAAATGACTTTTTATTTTAATTAAAAAAGAAAATACTAGAATAATTAATCTTCTCACCAAATGACTTTTTATTATAATTAAAAAAGAAAATAAAAAATAACAACCAATAACCGATCACTTTTTCCATCATTCATGTCACATAGTCGGTAAGTTAAAATTTACATTTATTCCAAATTGAAACGACACCGTAAAAAATGAAAAATTCCCACCATATTTGAAAATTTGAAAACATAGTCCACGAATCTTCAAATCAAAATTTCACCCTCTCTCTTCCCGCCAACACTTTATAGAAGGAGGGAAAACAAATTTGAGAACACAGTGTTACATTTATTAATCTCTCCGCACATTTTCAATTTCAAAACCCAAATCACTCACTCGTTCTCACTCTCTCGCTCTCGCTTATCCCTTCTCATCGTGCGTTTTTGCTACCGAAATGGAAATTGATTCATCTCCACTCCGGCTGAACGAGAGCGAGGTTGTTGTCGGTGCGAAGCAAGTGAGTCGGAACAATTCACGTGGGGTTCGTGTTGTTGGAAGCCGAATCTATGATTCTGAAAATGGCAAATCTTGTCATCAGGTTGATTTCTAATCTTATATTATTCTTTTTCTTTTATGTTGATTTGATTCAGTTCCTAGGGTTTCTGATGATAAGATATTAATAAAGCACGGTTTTCTAGTTCAGATCTATGTAGTTTTGACACCAGTATTATCTTTGTGGACGCGTTAGTATTGTTTTGTCTATGTGTTAGTGCTTTATAGATTTATATTCTGCTGTAATTTATTGTGAGATTGTAATTGTTTAATTATGTGATGGTGATAATTGTTTAAACTGAATTTTTTGTGGATCTGATTATGGAGTTTGATTAATGTGCTAAATTTGATGTTTGAAGTATTGTGTTGTTATGTTAGCATAAAAATGGGCTTTATTTGGTATGTATTGAACATACTTTTAGCACAACCCTAAACCCAGCTTGTATTTCAGTTGCACACCATTGTTTTTGGATACCTAAGAAAAATGCAAAAAATGGGTTGTAGAGAAATGATGTTTGAAGGGTTGATCTTAGTTTGAATCTCTTTTATTATTATTTTTTATCTGTGCGTTGTTTGGGTGTGTGTGCGCATGTGTAAGTGGGTGTGTGTGCGCATGTGTAAGTGGGTGTGTGTGCTTATATTTTTTTTTTTGGAGATGTGTTGAATTTTGGAGAGATAATGGTTTGGATATGACTTACTATGGGACAGTGGGAATTATTTGAAAAATGTGATGGGTGATGACTAGAAACCGTCTATGTTTGATGCTAACACATTTGTCTGTTTTGGTTTTCCACTTTGAAGTGCCGTCAAAAAACAATGGATTTTTCTGCTTCATGTAAGAATCCAAAGAATGGGAAGCCTTGTACCATTAGGTTTTGCCACAAGTGCCTTTTGAACAGGTTTAGTTCACCTTTTTTATTTTTAATTTGGTTTTAATTTCAGAATTGTCCTATTTTAGTAAGAGTACAATGGTAAACTAATTTGTTGTGGATTTGTGTTGAATTTAGATATGGGGAAAAGGCAGAAGAAGTAGATCTATTGAGTGATTGGATGTGTCCAAAGTGCAAAGGCAGTTGCAACTGCAGTATTTGCATGTAAGTTGTGGATTGAATGTAGGCTTTGAAGTTGGTTTTATGATTTTCATTTTGTAGCATTGTGTTAGTTCTGAAACAAGAGTGACCTTGTAGGAAAAGAAAAGGTCAACAACCAACTGGTTTACTAGTTTATACTGCCAAAGCATCTGGTTTTAAGTCCGTGTCAGAGATGCTCAGCAAGAAGGCTTCCCGTGGTTTGGATAAGGTTTGCTGATTTTATCTCCATTTTTACGTGTTTAACACATAAGTCAACTTTGTTTGATGCTTAATAAGGATCCTTTTCATGTATACAATTAAAACTAATGATGGCAGAAGCAAACATGTTTTGGTCTTCATAGTAGTTTATGGTTGACTCATTGTTTTTTGTATAATATAGGAGCTTGTAGTGGATCTATTTGAGGAACCAGGGAAGGAAAACCCAATAGGTGAAAACAAAAGTTTAAAGGTTGAAGAGGAGAAAACCAAGAAGTTGAAGCAGAAAAAGGTTAAGGAAATATCTAATGCCAACAATGTTGATGATGCTTCCCAAAACAAAATATTGAAAAAACATAAACATTGTAAGGGAGTTTCAGACAATGCCATTAAAATAAATGAAAATGCTGAAATGGACACAAAAAAAGAGGTGAGTCATGGTGTGATTCATGCTTTTGTATGCAATTGAAACTAATGATGATTGAAGCAAACATGTGTTGATTTTCATGTTAGTTTTTATGCCTGATTTTCATATTTGTTTTATAATATAGGGGTTTGTAGTGGACCTATTTGAGGAACCAGAGAAGGAAAACTCACTAGGTAGAAACAAGGTTGAAAATGAGAAAACCAAGAAAATGAAGCGAAGAAAATTAAAAGAAATATCTAATGGCAACAGTGTTGATGCTGCTTGTCAAACGAAGACATTGAAAAGGAAACGTTGTAATGGAGTTCCTGAAGATGAAGTAAAAAGAAATGAAAATGCTGATATTGAAACAAAAATAGAGGTGAGTCATGGTGTGAGTCATGTTCATGTATGTAATTGAAACTATTGAAGGTTGGAACAAAAATGTGTTGAATTTCATTGTTGTTTTATGTTTGGTTTTCATGTTATATACTATAGGAGCATTTAGTGGATCTATCTGGGGAGGCACAACAGAAAAACTCCTTAGGTGAAAACAAAGGTTTAAAAGTTGAAAATGCAAAAACCAAGAAAATGAAGCAGAAAAAGTTAAATGGAATATCTAATGGCAACAATGGTGAGGATGCTTGCCAAAAAAAGATACTGAAAAGGCCTAAACATTGTCATGGAGTTTCGGATGTTGAAGTCAAAAGAAATGAAAATGCTGAAATGGAAACAAAAGTAGAGGTGGGTCATGGTGTTGTTCATGTTCATAAATGCAATTGAAACTAATGATGGTTGAAGCAAAATTGTATAGTTATTTTAATGTCTAATTTTCATATGTTTTATACAATAGGGGCTTATAGTGGATCTATCTGGGGAGGCACAACAGAAAAACTCATTAGGTGAAAACAAAGGTTTAAACGTTGAAAATGTGAAAACCAAGAAAATGAAGCAGAAAAAGTTAAGTGATCTATCTAATGGCAACAATGTTGAGGGGGTTTGTCAGGAAAAGTTATTGAAAAAGCCTAATTGTAATGGAGTTTTAGATGGTGATGTCAAAAGAAATGAAAATGCTGAAATGGAAACAAAAATTGAGGTGAGTCATGATGTGATTCATGTTCAGTTGGATGGTCCTCTTGTGGATGAAGGTGACAATGCTGGTGCCAAGTCTAAAACAAATGCTATCATTTTGCAATCACAAAAAATTAAAGAAGAGATTCCTTTGCCCCTTGGCACTGAGATGACAAAAATATTGGACATTGAGTTTGCACTAGAAGATGTTGGGAATGCATTGCAGTTTTTGGAATTCTGCAGAGTGTTTGGAAAGGTATGCCTTACTACCAATATTATAATTCAGTTTCTTGTTCTGATGTTGAATTTTCTCTTAAATATTATTTGATTAATTTCAACTTACTGCTGCATCTGGCAGATGACAAACTGGATTGTTTGCCAATTCTTTTGATGCTATTAATGGCCACAAACCATAGCTTGTTGGCTTGGTCAATAAATGATTTTTGGTTATTTTGGGTTTAAATTAACTTCCTGATAATGGAGTCTAAAAATCAAATTAATAATAGTCATGATATACTATTGGGACTACTTACTATTTTACTAATACCATGTAACCTTAACATCAATCCTTAGGTTTACTTTGCAATTGGCCATTTAACTGTTTCTCACATTTTTCCTCTTGCAAAATTAGGCTCTTGATCTTAAGAAAGGAGAAGCAGGAGCTATTTTAAGAACCTTGATACGTAAGCGAAATTTGCGATGTGGACAAAACACCTTAGTGGTTGAGTTCCAAATCAAACTATTGACTCTTATAGCATCTGAATCAGACATTGAGTAAGTTGATATTTAACTCTAATTCATTTCTGAAGGGTATGAGGGATTTATTTTGTTGTTTGGAATAACTTTATTATCTTTGGATTACTTTGGTTTAGGTCTTCATCCTTAACTGCTGGTGATGGAAAACGTTCATGGTTGATAGTTTTGAAGGATTTAATTACTGAAACCGGGCTAAAAGAATTTCCGCTGGATTTGCTTAATAAAGGCATTAGTGGATATAACGATTTGGACTTATCTAAAAAGCTCATCCTTCTAAATTTTATCTGTGATGAAGCTCTGGGCACAAAGTAAGTGTTTCATTACTTAAATAGAAAATTGAGAACTTTCCATTTACTTTTTTTCATTCTCCCTCCCCTGTCTTCTAGATAATACTTAAAATTGGTTGGGTACTTGCTTTGACATGTTCAGGAAGCTAAGGAGTTATATTGAAGATCAAAATGCAATATTAGCTGAAGAAAAGAAAGCAGCAAGATCAAAGGTTGCTGAAGCTAAGGAAAAAGTAAGAATGAAACTAGTTAGTTTGTTTTTGTTTCTGGCTTATGCTATAAAAAATTCACATGGTGTTCACATTGTTGTGTGCGTGTTATCTATAGGAAAGAAGCCTTAAGCAGAAGTTGCAGGATGAAATGGCAAAAGCTATTATACAAAATGGGGCTACCTTCTCAATTTTAGAATATGATGCTCTTCTGTCAAAAATCAAAGGCGAAGCAGCTAAAGCACATACTGAGCTTCTCGAGGTAAAGGGAACAATCCCTAAAGGAAACCAATGTTGTGATGCAGTGAGAATTGAGCCTGAGTACTTGGATAACACTGGCAAGACTTTCTGGAAATTTAGGAGCTGTAATGATGAATATGCTTTCTTGTTACGAGGTAATTTTCAAAACAAATTAGCTTAATTTTTGTCAATGATAGATGTCATAAGATTTAGGCTGTAGCAAGATTACTAATGGTTATCAACATACAGATATCAAGATAGAGGGCGGAGATTCTGCTGTTAAAGTTGATGAAAAATGGTTTGTTTATGGAGATGAACAGAAGGATGTGGTCAATAAGTACATTTCCTCTAGGAGAAGTTGGTTTCCAAAGGTTGTTTCAGCATAATTGTTGAGATATTTAAAGCTTATAAAATGTAATGAAGGGTCCTTCCCAGTTACTTTGGTGATTTCGGTTACAACTTGTAGCTGGTTTCTTTTGTTTTACTGTAGTTTTTCAAATATTAAGTTGCAGAATGACCAAGTAGTTTGGTCTAGTATTTTTTTGATAAACATTTGTTGGTATTACATTTTTATTATGTAGTAGAATCATGTTTTTATTAGATGATGCATGTCTTTTCCATGATGGTTTCATTTTGGCTTAGTTGTTTGTAATTTACATAATTTGATTTGATCGTTCATGTTTTCCATAGTTGTTTGAGTGTTGGAAGCACTAGCCCTACACTTAATAAATTCTAATGAAGAGTTAATGATATTTAATCAACATTGTTGGGAGAGTTGGTGTCATAACTTCAATGTATATATAAATATATATTAAAATTCGATTATACAAGTGTAAAGATCTACTTTATATATAAATTGATGCATGCGTTAGAGTCAAATGGTAAATATTGACATAATTTGGAAATGTCCTCATGGAAGCCAAATTTTATTTTGGAAATTGTCCTTGAAAAAAAGTCTTATTGATGCCAAAAGGAAGCAACTTGATATATTAAATCAAGACCTTTGTATTGAATGTAAGTCCTTGAGACTATTATGCATGTTTGTAGGATTTGTTTTTTAGTCTTGAATTATTGCAGTGGATGTATTTTAATCGATATCAATGAACTTATTTTAATCGATATACTAAAAAAAACCAAACTAGTTATTCCCAAACTTCTCTTGAACTTGAACAATTTTAAGCAATCTTAGAGGTAGCTACATTTTGTTCATCATCTTTTTCATTATGTATCCTCTTTTGTCGAACAAATAAAATATAAAATCAATATAAAATTAATGTGAAATGAAAGTCTCCTACTGATATTATTTTAAGCTCAATATTATTTAGTTCTATATATGTAGTACATGACTCTTAACTTGTGGGGGTTTCATTATAAATTTAAAGGTCTGTTTGAGAGTTATTTTTTTAAGTGTTTTGGAGGAGAAGATTTTAGAGGATTGCGTCTATATTTTGAAATATGTTTGATATTTTTAAATTTTTTTAAAAACAATTGATTTTATATGTTAATGTAGTATATTATTTTTTATATTTTTTAAAAATATCACACACATTTCAAGATATAGACGTAATCCTTTAAAAAATTTCACTCCAAAATCCTCTAAAAACTAACTCCCAAATGAACCCTAAGAAAAATTATGTTAGTGATTTCTTTTAAAATCTTGGCCTTCAATCTCCGTTTTACTTAAGTTCTACAACCTCTGTTTTACCTAAGTTCTAAAGCACTGTCTATAGATTTGACCTGAGAGAATTTTGCCTAAGTTCTAAAGCTAAGTTCTAAATGTCTCTGATTAAAAAAAGAATAAACTTTCTGGTAGGAAGTTTAAAATTTTTGGTACGCATGAAATTTCGAATAGTTATATTGAAATTTTCGATAAGTTGCAATTTGATCAGGAAATTTCAAAATGTGCAATCTCATATCGGAAATTTCGCACAAGTTAAATTTCCGGTAGTGTATATATTAAGAATTTTTTAACGATTTTGTAGGGATGTGATTGCACTGACAATTTTGTGTGGTCCAAAATGAAACCAAAGTTATATAAATAGGAGCCATGTATTCTTTAGAAGAAAAAAAATCTCAAAATGCCTCTTCCTCAATTTCTTATTAAGATAAAAATATATTTCAACGGAGACAATCCTCTTGTGGAGTTCAAACTTCCAAATGGCACCACATTTCTCGCCAACTTGACAGACAAGTTGAATGAATTGTTGTCTGATAACACTAACAGAAGGGTGAGAAAAATTGAGTTTCGTGAAGATTAGATTGATACTAATGGCAAGGTGAAATACAACCTTGTTGAGTTGAAGACCGATGAAGATGTGACGATTATGAGGAAATCATTTCTCCGTATGATAACTAAGGGGCCAATCGAGCTTGATGCGAAGATTTTGAGATCTGTCGGCGACATAATAAAGATGTTGAAACGTCCTGACTCATATGTTAGTGTATATGTTTTCATGTTTCGTTATTTTTAATTTATGTTTATTGTATTGTTTTAAGTTATGTGCATCATCGAAACATGTAATCGACAAAATATTATACAATAAAAAGTGATGTGCTAAGTATTTTGAGTCACAAAATATAGATATAATACAACTATCAAATGAAATAACTAAATATCCTACCCGAGATAATTCAGTAAAAACCTCACCGTCTGGGTTTACCAAACCCATTAGGTTATACACAATAATAGCAATCACGACGAACCACTCCTGGTCATTTGTGCCTGGTGGAGGAGGAGGTGGTGGGGGCACATCACCAGCCTGTACCTCAACCTCAGAAACCCCATGATCAAAAGGCCTCTAGCATCGGAAGCACCCACAGTAGGTGGTATGATGCGAGGTGTGATATAGTGAGATACCGCTCCAGGTAACCATCCTCACACTATGAAGGATGTTGAACCCTCATTGCGCTAGCCTTATGGGCATAGGCATAATTGATGATGTTACTCTTAAGCCATTTGTCAATGCTCTTAGTTAGAGCCTCCATAACTGGTCAAGGGATGTCTTGGACATAACCATACTGTCGCAGACACCTCTCAGAAAGTGTCTAGCCACCAAGGTCTCCCACCTCATATGGACATGAATATAAGAAAGACTTGTCAAACTCACGGTAGGCCCGTTGAGCTTTGTATGGTGTCAAGATGACTATTGTGATACGGTGGGAGAACTGACTTGAGGGTTTTGCGTTTTTTATCGCAAATGTTGCGGTTAGCAAGAGTCGCCACCGACTTTTCTTTTATCCAAAAAGGAAAGGTGAAAAAGCACAGGAAAGACCTTTGAGATTGTTTTTTGAGTTCGGGGGGTAGATTATGAAAAGGAAAGGTATTATCACCCTTTTCATCCATGGTTTTTCATGGGCTCTTAGTTACTTGCTAGATCACTTGCTTTTTGTTTTGAAATTATGCTTTGTGTGATTTTGAAAGTATTTTGTAAAAGAGACCATTGTTTAGGCAATCTTTGTAATGATTCTCGTTCGTAATAATGTATACAAAGATGTTTGTCTTTTTGAAAATGTTTTCAATGTTTGTAAGATGTTTTGAAAGTGTGTAGGTGTTTGTTTTGAAAATAGCAAGGATAATTGCTTGAAATGGAGAAAGTAACTAGAAGTAATATACATACTCAAATGTCTTTCTTGTTCATTTCCTTTTCCTTTGATATTGTTGTCTTACCATTGATTTGTTAAGCAACCCTATCTTTAGATGTAAACAGGACGGGCGTGTGTCATCGTATAGCCATGATTAGCAATGTTGCAAAGTATCTTAGCATTTTTTGAGGGACCAAGATCATTTTGTAAGGCAACTTTGAATAGCGTCATCGAGGGACTATGATCTTATATTTGTTTGTTTTTGCCAAGATACTTCGCATACGTAATATGACCATTTTTATATAAGGCAACCAAGTGGAGAAACCCTAAGGATGCTTGTGTGTAAGTGTGTTATTTTCATGCTTGATTTTGTCTTGGATTAGGGTTTTCTATTTGATTTGTTTTTATCTTGCCATTCAAACCCTAATTACTAGCGTGGTATATAAAAGCGGTAAATTGCATAATTTTAAAGATTACTATGCTATTACAATATTGTATGAGAGGGGGAAATACAAATTGTGAATGGGGATTTGCAATAATGTAAACCTAATTTAAACTATTACAACTAAATCGAATTTGTACAAATATTTGAATAAACAATATGCAATATAATTTAAATATGCAATGTTATGTATATGCAAGGAAAAGAAATTGTTTTATTTTTCATATGCAAAAGAATTTTGACCTAATCCTAATATCTTAAGAAAAGGAAATTGTTTCTTGAAAAAAATGGTTAACCCTAATTTCAAACTTAAAAGAAAATAAAATTTCTTAAGTATTATTTTTTTGTGTATTTTTATCTTAAAAATAATAAATAATATTCATAAAAATATTTGGTCTTTTTATATGTCAAGATAACATTTATAAGTATAAAAAAGGGATAAAAATATATCTAAGTTTAATTTATTTTTACAAGTTTATTTAAGAAAGATAGTTAGTATATAATAAAATAAAAATATATATTTTTTATATAAAATAAAATAAAATAAACAAAAGTGCAATATTTAACATTTTTATATTTTTTATGATTTTTATAGTATTTAAGAAAATACATTTGATAAAAAAATGGAAATAAAAAATAAATAATAAAAGATTGGGCCAGGGGTGCTGTAAGGAGAAAGGGAGGTAGCTGTTACAAAAAACAAGAGGCCCAAGGAACCAAGCCCACGCTGCCGAAAATGCCAAAAAATGAAACTGAAAAATGAGAAAAAATACAAAAGATAGTGCCAAGGTTCGAACCCACGACCTATGCATTTCCAACGCACTACCTTGCCACTGGGGTGGCTGTACATCCGTTAGTTCATATGAAACAAAAAAAAACATAACATATAAAGCCTCCTTGCCCTGTACTTCATCTTCTTCCTTAAGCTGGCCAGAACCTCTGTATCTTTCTTATTTCTCCATGAAAATGGAAACTTCCGACATGAAAATGATAGTACTCTTTCCCACGATTTCAGACATGTAACTTATGGAAACTAACAATCAAAGATCAAAATAAATTTTAAAGGCCCTAATTTTAAACCTAATTTTTACAGAAATTCGAACTCTAAAATTCTCTATACAAAATGAATATAAATGAATTCTATGCACATGGTTGGCTTTAGCAAAATAATATCTACATTTTCCTTTCACAAATTGTGGCCAATGGATGCCTGTATGAAGAGATAAAAGTTGGAATTCTTACCTCTTTCAGCTGAGATCGTGAATGGAGTTTGAGTGAGTTTTATGAAGGCCTGAAGATTACTTTAGCTTGCCTGAACCTCCCCGAGTGTGTTCCAATCCTTGCCTTGCTTTGAAAGTGCCT